GACTACGGACGTACTTAGTACTTACACTCTCGTGTTCTTTGCTTTGTTCACGACTACGGACGTACTTAGTACTTACACTCGCGTGTTCTTTGCTTTGTTCACGACTACGGACGTACTTAGTACTTACACTCGCGTGTTCTTTGCTTTGTTCACGACTACGGATGTGCCCGTGCTGTCGACGTTGTGTTCGAGTCCGAAGTAGGCTGCGACGCGGTGAACGAGCATGCGGTGGTACGAACTCATCGGCTGGAACTTCATCAACTGCCGCCTGTTCGAAAACAAACGTGGCCGCGTTACGCGCGAACGCGGAGGCGAGAGAGGGTCATACTAGCATCGCAGCCGCTGAGTGGCAATCGTGGACACCGAGGCGTGCACGTCTGATGCAAGGCAGCGCCCTCTAGGCAAGCGCAATCTAACAAGAGAACGCCGCGTAAGCTATTTTAAAAGACGGCTACTTTTTTCGTTCCAAAACGACCGAGCGCAGGCCCTCTTCTCCTTCTTCTCCAGAAACCCAAAAATTCAGGAGTAAGTAGTACTCTCTCTCACACGTTCCTCCATCAGGATTCCCCCCTCAACACTCCCGCCACTCACTTCGTGTCTTTGACCAACGACGTCATGTCCTGTTCCAACTTGAGCAGCACGCGCCGATCATTCGGATTCTTGTGCAAGGTCATTGAGATGAACTCTTCAAGGTCGATCCCTGTTGAGTCTGTGTAGGCTTCTGTGCTCGAATCTGCGGGCCGAGCGAAATTGTCAGTTCCCCACCCACGCACGCACGCATGCATGTGCACGCATACACGCAGGTGCATGCACACACGCACGTGCACGCACAAATGCATGCATGTGCACGCATACACGCAAGTGCACGCACACACGCACGTGAACGCACAAACGCATGCAAGTGCACGCACACACGCACGTGAACGCACAAACGCACATGCATGGCATGTGCATGTGCACGTGCACACACAGGATAAACACATTTGCTCTTGGGGAGGGGAGACGCTCCCCCCACCCACTAGCACCCACTAATTCCTGCGAGGATCACAATGGATCCGGTGGAGAGAGAGAGAGACGTACCTCGGGACAGGGCCGGCGAGTGATCTTCGTTGCTTTTCTGTGAGCTGCTCTGCTTGTTGAGGCGCGGGTGCCGATGCTTGGCCTGCAAGAACAACCAGTTCCAAGTTCACACGCCAAAATAAAAAGGATTCTCAAATATCACGGTTCGCACGAAAAAAATAATTCGTTTGCATCGGCGCCCCGCAGGTGGCGCCACCGTCTACGTTAGTTACCCTCTCGTGTTTCTCCGCCTTCTCGGCGGCTCTCTCGGCGAGCAGCGCAGCCTCGAGATCTGGCGGGGGAGGCGAGGCGTCGTCACGGAGGGCCTGACTCCGCAGCAGTCGTCCCTTAAGGCTGTTGTTGTACGCATCCTGTAGCAACCGCAGAGCAACGCGGGTGAACGGACGGACGAACCGCAGAGCAACGCGAGTGAACAGACGAACGAACCGCAGAGCAACGCGGGTGAACG